TCACTGCAACTCCTGCCTCCCAGGTTGAAGCAATTCTCCTGCCTCATCTTCCCTAGTAGCTGGGATTAAAGGCACCTGCCACCACACACGGCTAATTTTTGTATTTTTTAGTAGAGACGGCGTTTCACCATGTTGGCCAGCCTGGTCTTGAACTCCTGACCTCAGATGATCCACCCGCCTTGGCCTCCTAAAGTGCTGGGATTACAGGCGTGAGCCACTGCACCCAGCCTAAAGTCATGCGTTTGAGAGAGCTGCGTTTCACAGCCCCGAAAGGAAACGGGTGTGGCCACTTTATAGGTGTCAGGACTCAGATACCCTCCAGGTCACCCAGGTGGTAAGAAGCAGGGCTGGATTTCATCTCGGATGATCGGGTTTCCAGTCATGCTCTTTCCTCTGCTGTCAGAGGCTCCTCTTAGGCCAATTCAGAGGGCAGCATTTAGGGACAAGAGGCACACAGCAAACTGTACAAGTCCTGGATATTTGGCAAATGTGCTACAGTCTGCAAAGCATGTTTGCAACCAACAGTTCCTTTATGCTGCCCCCAGAGCCATCTGGACTCGTCTGCGGACCCGGCAGGCCCTGGGCTCTTCTCCTGCCTCGTTTCCCTCCAGGTCTCCTGAGCTCCAGGCCAACTGGGCTACGAGCTCTTTCTTGTACACGTGCCCCAAGTTCCCACCTCTGAACTTTTTCTTCGAATGCCTCTCCTTCCTTCTCACTCTGTACAAATCTTCCCCACCCTTCAGAGTCTCGTTCCAATGCCTCCTCCAACAGGCAGCCTGTCCTGATTGCTTTCAACTGGAAGAGAAAGAGGAACCAGAGTAGGAAAGGAATAGGCATTTCCTCAATGTTTATTCAGTACCAGGCATGTTATATAACCTTGCAATGACTCTGTGATATAGTCTGTTTCTGCCCCATTTTATAGGCAGAAATTGAGGGGAAATGACTCGCTCAAGCTCACACAGCTAGGAAGGAAGCTTCTGGACTCCTCATCTAGTGCTCATTCTCCTGCTCTAGTCAGGAGCCCTGTGGGGCCAATGAAGGCAAATCTTCCACCTCTCTCCTTCTTCGTGGTTGATCCCTGGGGGTGGTGATCTGATCTGTTCCCTCCCTTCTAAAGCCAGAGCTGCTGACAGTTTGCCATTGGCTCTTCAGCCAGGGCTGGCTTTTGTTTCTGTGGCCCAGTTGCTGAGTCGGGGATTTGTCTCCCAGGGGCCCCTCTTCCCTCCCTGCCTATAAGAGCCTGACCTCGGCTGGTCTCAGATCTCACATGTTCCCTGGGCCTATCTCGGTAAGTCCCAGGTTTGGAGAAGGGGGTGGGATCAAAGTTCTGAGTGAGCATCCCCGGGAGGAGAGGAGCCCAGGTCCCTAGTCCTAGGGATGTCACTGTGTCATCCTGAATGCCATCCTCATCCCAACCAAGGATAAGCCCCGACCATCAAGACCAGCACCTGCTCCCCTCATTTAAAATCAAAATTATTCCTGTAGCCCTGTTGCCTAAATTTCCACCATTAGAGCTACCTCTGCGAGTTAGGTGCTGTCTTTGAAAGGGTTCTTTTACGCTGAGCATTTTAGCACTCACTGGGGCGATGCACCCACCCACCAGCAGCCACAGAAAATTTCCCATAACAAGAATACGAAGTTGGGCTCAGAGGCAAAGAGACCCAGCACGGGTGAGTTTTGAGATGGGACAGGATGGAAGATGGCATTAGTGACAGATGGAAAGGACAGGAGAGAGACAGGCCAAAGCCACACATTGGCCCTAGCCCAGTCACTGCTGGACTTCTTATCTGGATCCTGACCAGGTCCAAACTAGCCCTCTGCGTAAGGAGGAGAGCTGAGGGTCAGGCTGGGAGATGGTGACATTCTTCTTTTCTGTA